AAGATAGATGTATTCAGGGTAGCTTTACTAAAATTCAGCTTCAAACTGGTATTTAACAAAATTCCAGCCAAAATACTCATTTGTAACTCCAGCCAACTATTTTATTGAAGCCAATTCAAAGCCAAACATTTTCCGAATGCCTACAAGGTTACAAAAATAATAAACAATGTTTGGCTATCTTTCAAACATTGGGGGATTCAGAGTCCCAGTCCCAGAAAGAATAAGAAGAAAAGGTACAAGGAAGCAGACATGAAAAAGTTATTGCTTGAAGAGTGACTCCCATCCAGAAATCAAAGATGGGAAGTTCATTTGGGGAACCTTCAGGTGGTCACCACAACTGCCAGGAAACTGAGACACAGAAGAGAATCATACTGAATGGGTTCTTATAAGTCCTCTCACACACCAGCACCTTTTCAGTTGTTTTAAAATAGATTTTCTGCCTTGTTTTGAGTTTATTTCCAGAGGGATTGCAAAAGATACTCAAATGTGACAAAATTAGTACTGCTCTAGTTTCAGTGTGAGTTGGAGTACCCAAAGATCAGAGATGTTTTTAATACTTAGACTTAAATGCTGAAGAGGGACTAGATTTCTAGGCAACATGCCTCAAATGATGGTGTGCTCATATCCACCAAGAAGAGAAAACTGAATTATAAATAAAGCTTATATCAACTCTAGATACCATGGGGTCCTAAGAAACCATAAACATGATGTAAACTCAGAAGCCCTCAATGTAGAAATAGAAACACTCCTTGACCTATATACCCTAGTATACTCTGGTACATCAGTAATAAATCAGTAACTTGAGCAAGGTGCAGAAGTAGATATGAAAAGCACCTAGCAAGAAGGAAAACAACAAAGCCGACACAAGCATAAAAAACAAGAGTGGAATTTTGGTACATTTTCTAAAATCTAGAGGTTAGAAATTAATTTTAAAAATAGAAAAAGTAATTAAGTTAACCAAAGCACATGGTAAGAAAATTAAAACAAAATAAAACTAGAGTTTATTGAGTATCTGTGTATCAGATTCAGTAGTAGGTAGACACTTCCTGCAAATATTATCACATTTAGCTCTTAAAAATCTCATGCAAAAGTATTAACAATGTGAAAATTGAGGATCCAAGACATAAAATAATTTACCCACAGCTAGTAAATGGTAGAACAAGGAATCACACCCAGGTCTACCTCACTCCAAAACTCATATGCTTCCCAGCACCTTATGCTACTTTCTGTGGTCAAGCCTGCAGTAAGAAGGATAATCCAGCTTTTCAGGAAGTATCCAAACAATTTCAGCTTTGATTAAGTAACACTGGTCTTCAGTGAAATATTAAAATTGCTGCCATCTGAACAGGTCCAATGACCTGTCAGAAATTCCTTTTTACATCCGAAGAAAATCTCTGCTAGAACTAAGATCACACATGCATATATTGCAATGCTCCCAAAGATACCTGTAGAAACATCCTATGATGAATTCAGAAGCTCCCTTCCTTTGGGAATATCCCTAAAATTTCTGAACAGGATGCATAGATAGTGTTAAAAATAGCTTATTCCTTGATACTTTATCTGCTACTATTTTTTCAGTTTATCTGGCTTATGGACCATCTAGCCGTATTAACATACCTTTGTTACCAAAACCACTTTCTATCACTTTCCTTCTTTTTATTTTTAAATGCCCATTTGAGCAAGCCAGTAAGCTGGGCTAAGCAGCAAAGTATGTATCTGTGCTGTTCTTTTAGAATCCACCCCTCTGCAGCTGTGGGCATGACATATTCTGTCTTGGGTTCACCTGCAGCTATCTTATCTTCCTCATCAATGTACAATATTTCCATGTATGATCTTTTGCTAATGGTTTCCAATAGAGGGAAGAACTACATCTTTATTCTTGCTGTCTCTTTACAGTCACTTGTCAGTGTTTTAACCTTCTAGGGAGAAAGGAAAATCAAATCTAAGGTTAAGAGAAAAGAAAAAAAGTGAACCATCATGTATGTTGCTTTGAAGTTGGGTTTGACTCATCCTAATCCCCTGAGAGAAAAGCATAAGAAATGACAGGCCCTTGTTTTCTGATTGGGATAAAATCTTCTATTTATTTTTGATCCTGAGCAATTGACTCCAAAAGGTAAACTTAGAACTATATTTTAAATGTTAAATTCCAATGAACAGACATTTTTATTTTTCAAAAAGTAGCCTTTTACTTAGGAGTTATAGGAAAAACAAGATTGTATTCATTTGTTCTTGCTCAGTTGTTTTGTAACTTTATATCTACCTAACTTTTCCCCCAGAAAAGTAGCTTTTCTAACTCAGCAAATTATCACTATCCTAATTTTCTCAAGTCTCAGTTAAGTACGGACAAATTATGAGCTGGAATTCATAACTCTTTGCTTCAATGAACATTTATTTAGTTCAGTTCTGTTTTATTGCATATTTATTAAGTACCAGATGCTTTACTGAGAATTGTATGGCTGAGAATAGAAAGAGGAATAAGCATGGTCCTACATTTAGAAGTTCATAGTCTAATAGGGAGACAACATGTGAGTAAGAAAAACACCATTGTGTATAACGGGTGCCCAAACAGACTCAGTACAAGTCAAAAGGGATCGCAGAGAAGGGAGACTAAGGAGAGAAAGCGGGGTCTGATGTTGGTCTTAGATTCAGCGTCTGTGTGTCAGTCACACAAGGTGTGTATATGTGTGTTTGTATGTTCAAGAAAGGAGAGAAGAAGAGGAAACCATTCTGAGTATAATCAAATGCACACTACAGCTCCCTGGATTCTTGGAACTTCAAGCAGGTTGTTATAGCTGGAGTCTACAATGCAGGGGAAGAAATGGTCTAGTCTGAAATGAAGCTAGAGAGAAAGTGGGGGATATCCCGCCAAAATGCAAATCCCAGCCTCCAAACCAGAACTACAGAATTCAAATCTGGATGTGGGTCTTGGGGATCTTCATTTGTTTACAAGCTTCCCTGGTGCTTCTTATGTCACTGAAGCTGAGAATCCCCAGAGCAGATGGTGGAGAGCCTCTGCAGGCATCTCCTCTTCCCTCCTTTCTTGATCATTATTCCTACTATTGATTAGCCCCACCCGGTGGACTGAAGGGGCTGAGGTTCATGGTCCAATTTAGCCATAATAAAGCAACATGAGCAAAAAGGAAGGACATAGAAACTATCATCTAAAAAAGGTAAGACCTGGACCCTCATTGTCACATCTGCCCCTTTGGTGAGTATATGGTCCTTACTTTTTTCACTTCAGTAACTGCTGGGTTTTTTTTGCCTGGGGAACTATTTTAAGGTGCTTGGCTTTGGTATTCCCAAAATCTTTGTAAAGATTATTTATAAGTAGTTTTTGAGTGGTTGGTTTTACATCCACCTATACTCTTACTTGATTATGTTTCTTATTATGGAAGAATTAAATAGAACAAGTCTTTTCTAAATGCAAGGATTATATTTTTATGACATTATATTCAATGCTGCATATGCCAGAAACGTGTGAAAATAAGGTTTCAACTCAGCAAGAAGAGAAGCTTGATAATATCTCATCAAGAAAAAATCAAGGATACATGAGACTTCAAAGTAGTCCTCAGCTGGTATGCTAAGTGAACAAAGCCGTGCTTCTACCCAAGGAACCTGCTTGATTTTCTTCTTGCAGGTCTAACCTGGATGGCTGTGAGTTGGCTTAATCTCAGCTGGCAACTGTGAGATGTTCAAACAGTCCCCCACAGTGGTCTCTGGGGTTATGCTAAACAGAGCAATTTCCTTGACCTCATGGATCAAGAGACTTGCATGGCAACCAGAATTACAGTACCAGATTTCTATTTTGTGACCCAAAAAGCTGCTATGGTTATTGTTTTGTGCTCAATCTCTTTTCGTCTTATGAAAGTCTTTTTCTGAAGTTGTGTTATACTGGAAAGGCAACTGGAAAGGCCTTGATTGAATTCGTGGGCTATTTATAGCACTTCTTCAATGTTACCTGTTGGGTTTTTGGGGTTTTTTTATTGCAACCAAGGGACTTTGTGTGTTAGAAGCCAAACCTAAAATGTTTTCCTTCTGAAAGCTCCTCCCATTCATTTTGTAGGTGCTACTCTGTCAAATTCCAAGCTGTCCAAAAGGAGATGATCTGCCAGGTCCTCCTCACACTTCAACTGCCCAGATTATCACACTGAATGGCCCTTCTTCATTCCTTCTGTAAATGTTTTGCATTCAACTGTCCTAATTGATACTGAAATTTAGAATCAACTATGGCTCAGGCTAAGGTTGCCACCAGACTTCTGAGCTTCACCTAACTCCAATTCTTGGTGACCCCTGAAAACAGGGGCAGAAAACCATAATCTGCAAAAAGATTGAGAACAAATATAAGTCCTTAAGGTGAAAAATAAAGACTGGTTCTCTTCCTCATTCACCCAGAAACACAATGTAAATTAGATGGAGCAAATTTATAATTAAATGTAAGATTAATTTTAACAACAAAAATTATTAAAGATGCTTTTTTGAGGTCTTGACTGGCACATAGCTCCTTGTGTATCTTCAGGAAGAGGAGAAGACTGTGTATCTGCCTGGTTAAATTACATTTCTGCTACTGAGGCAGATTTGTATGACCTATTAGGTTTTATTGCCAGAAATTGATGTTGGGAGTAGGAGGTCGGTTTGAGGACTAGTTATTCCCAGACTAACAGGACAAATACTGAACTATAAGCTAGAAAATAACTTACTTCTTGTAAGAAGAGGGCTTCATAGGACCCTTTGAAGCTGTGAAACTCTCCAAATGTTATCTACATCTTCCTGTTAGTTGAGATAAACTTTTTTCCCCCAAACATTAAAAAAAAAAATTCTCAACTTCAATCTTGGTGACAGTTTTTCAAAAAGGATAGAAATTTTTTTTTTCAAAAAGAAAGGAAGTGAATGTACTTCAACAAGGTAGGAACTAAGGTTGAAATAATTGAGCACACACTATGTATCTGGCAATGTTTGTTGCCATGCTTGCACATTCAGTAATTGTTTGTTGCTGTCTGCAGATGTTTACACTACCTGCTACACATACAGGTACCAGGGGAGCTTTTAGAAATGCCAATGGCAAGGACTCCACCACAGATGAATTAAATCAGAATGACCAGGGACCTGGGCATCACTATTTGAGAGCTACCCAGAGGATTCTGATGTACAGCAAGAGGTGAGAAACACTGTTTTTGAGCCCAACAAGAAGGCTGTGGATGGAGTGGAGTGAGAGAAAAACTGTTAGGAAATGGGGTGGGAGTGATAACAGGGTGAGCCATGCTAAGGATTTGGGGTTTTAATGTGAATGACATGAGAAGCAAATGGAGAGTTTTACTTAGAGGAATGACATGAATTGTTCATAGGTAACAGATCAAACACAATTTTTCAGAACAGAATTATTTATAAACTCATTCTAAAGAAAAATATTTGTTGTAGATTACAAATAACTTCCTTGTAATTAAACTTTAGGCATATAGACCAAAGGGTAAGCAGTTCCCACCAAGAGGAGAGGTAGGATAAAAGAACAAGCAGGAAACTGACTGAGAAATCAGGAGCCCGAGTTCCTTTTGGCAACTAATTACCCGTGTTACTGTTTTAAGGGGGAAAAAATCACCTATCTTTTCAGCCATATAAAATCTGACCTTCTTTTTTTAACTTAAAAAAATCTAGAATTGCATGCTGGTAGTAATTAGTATCAAAATAAAGGGAGGATTTGGCACCTCTACCAGTGAGACATTCAAAATGTTGTTCAATGGGGTTAGTTTATGCCAGTCCTAACAGAAGTGGAGTAAAACAGGAGCAACTATTGAGACTTTGTTAGGGCTTCTGGGAACTAAGTCCTCACCTCAACTGCTAGCACTGACACCATGGCACATGTTACTACACCATGAAGACTACGTAAGTCAAAGTGGAAGCACTTTGGAAGCTCTCTCCGAGAGCAAGCAGGCAGATCCTACTACGAGTCTGCAGGCTTGCCCCTTAGACGTGTGCCGAATCTGTGATCCTGAGCTGTTGCCATAAACCTGAATTCTATTTCTGCTCAACACAGGTGGCCATGTTTTGTTCATCCTCCTGCCTGTGTGTTTCTGTCTGACCATACATGCCTACACACTGAGGCTCTGAGCATGGCTCATGTCAGTCCTCACCTTTAAACCTGGACTGAGCTTTGCCTTTAGTTTGCCCTGCAGGGACCAGGTGCCTCCCATAGCCAATAGCTATTTGGGGCCCCACGCAAAAGGCATCTCAATACAACTTCTTTAGATGCTGCCTGATTCTGCCCTAACCAGACATCTAGTCATGTACTGCACATCAACCTGTGGTACCCAAATCTTGTACTGAATTTTCTAAGCATCCCTGGCTTCCTCCCTAGGTATACATTTCTAGTCCCTACATGTTCCATTACCACCCAGCCCCAGTGCCTACCACAGTGGTTGGAGTCCAGGAATCAAATGATTTCTCCACTGATTTCCTGACCACTGACTGTTCCCCAACTGAGAAAAGGTCTCCTGAGTTCATTTCTCCCTGGACAGTTCTTAACTGTGCCTCCTTAAATGCTAGAAATCAACATTTCAGTCCTAGCCCCAGAAGTTAAAATTTCCATTAGAACCCCGTTTCTATTGGACACCTAGCACTAGGGGCTCTGCTGGCTGAAGAGGCTACACTCGCCCTTCAGTTGCTGCAGGGAGCCTTACGATGTGAGGAAGTCCCAACTTGAGGGCAGATTTCCCTCTGTTATTGAGAGCAAGCTAGCTAGATGGCCACCCTTATGCCATCAAAGGACTTTATTATCCTCTGCACCCAAATGGATGTGTTAAAGAATGTGGGCAGGCTCAAATCAGGCCAGTTAATGTTCCATCCACCAAAAAGGCCTACGAAGTCACTGATAGTCAAGCAGCCAGAGACGTCCTACCAGCAACCCCATAAAAGCTGCAAAGTAGCCCCAGCTTCATAATGTCTGTCTTCTGTGGACACCCAGATTAGAACTTTCTGTGGCCCTCCCCAAGGCTATACTACTGGAAGATGAACAGTTGTTGAATACTCAGAAAGTGCCACCTTTGTTTTCCTTTGGCTCCACCATCCCTCCAAACAATATGTATATATCCAAATCAAAATAACAACAATACAAAATAAAATTAAAATAGCTGTTTTCAGTGATCATTGCAAGGTTCCATGAACTCTAAAGGTGCCCTTTGTATCAGATCCAGAGCTGTCTTCCATTACTGTAGAGCAGGATAAAGAAACCCTTCCTGGTTACAGACTCAGTTATCTATCAGCTGGAGTGCCTCAAGATTGATAATCCTACTAGGTATAT